TTTTAAACATTTTCTAATGGTGGTGTGCCTCGTGATTTTTTTCATGAAAAAAGTGTGCCTTTGCACAAAAAAGGTTGAAAAACACTGCTTTAGACCACAGTTGTAGTTACAGTATTATAAAGTTGGCATATCTGGGATACGTGACATATCTCATGGCACAATACTACAGCTTTAAAAAAACATTTTTAGCTTCTAAATCATAATGATTAGGTTGTATAATTTTCTTGAATCTGGTACATATTGTTAATGGGGATAAAGAATATCAAGCAAGAATCTTCATTACATGCTTTTTCATTTTTTCATGGCAGATCAATTTTAATGTATTTGCTAGAGCCCCAAATACCCCATAAATCATGATTTGTAATTTTTGTGTCAAACTTTAAAAGCCTGAGGTATGATTTCTGGGTTTTTTTGGTTTAACAAGCTTCAACACATCAAATAAGACCTACAATTTCCCCTGCAAATCTTTACACATTCCACATAAAACAATTTCTATCACACCTCTATTAAAACTATTGCAAACCCTAGTTTCACCTTCTTTGATAATGCCACTGTGCTACAACCTACTTTCCTCATAATTGAAATCATTGTTTTATCTACTTGGAATTTATCCTTATATAATGTTTAGTATGGACAATGATAAGATACATTTCTAACTTAAGTAGCTTAGATTTTTATTTATGTATTTATTATTTATTTTAGGAAAAAGTAGATTATGGTGTGACATGGAAGGTAATTCTTGGGTTTCACAGAATAATGATTAAAATAGCAAATTTCAATTGAGTATTCAAACAACATCTGACTTTTTTTGTTGGTAATTATGTGGTAATTCAAGACAGTTCCTAGTCTTGAAAATTCCTACTTTGGTTTTGAAATGGTTTTCTCTGAGAAACAGAGATTTTTGTATAGACACAGGTGGTATTATCATTATACAGATAATGATAAAGAAAACATCTTTGAAAACATTTTGTTTCATGAATAAAGTTTGCATATATACATAAATTCGAAATCCAGATAAATAAGCAAAAATATGCTGGATTGTAAAATGAGAAAATGTCTTCTGAGAGCATATATTTTATTGATCAGGTATATACAAATAATTAATTACAATTAATTATATTGAAAGGCAGTTTTTTTAACTGCTGTCAGCTGGTTGTAACTCTTTGTTTTACAGTTGGTTAAAAAACGGTAAATTACATCAGTCTATTCTTACAGAAAGTTTTTACATTTTCTACAGAAATGTGTATACTTTTTTGGCAACATTTCATTCTGAAACAAAATTGCTAACATAATGTATGTTTCCAAATAATAGTGATTTCATTTTAATTAGCTGGGTAGAAAATGGCGGAAATTCTGTTAAGACTTAATAACTATTAATAGTCAACTAGTCTCTTTTTCTGTCAGTAAATTGGCCATCACTGTTTTTAACTGTAACTTGTGAACAAATTCTATTACTAAATTATTAAATATATTTAAAACATGAAACAACAGTAGTTCAGTGCAAATGGATAGCAGTAGCAAGTATTAACCTTTTTAAAAGGTGTTCAAGTAAGGAAAGAATGATAAGATGTACACAATAAAGACTCTGTTTCTGATGAACAAGAAATGATTAGGTTCAGCAGGTGTGCACACCATTCTTTTGCTCTGAAAACAAAGATGACTTTGCAATTGCTCTTTTTTCACAGTAGTTTCAAAGGTCTTTAAAGTGTAAATGATTCCAAGCAGAATCATTCACTACCTGTCTCAGATTTTAAAGGAACCAGCCCTTGAAATAACTGAATAGCAGGAGCAATTGTCCTTTTCAGTAAGAAATACAAGATGTGTGTGTTCCTTCTGTATCCTGAGGGATTCAGAAATATCTGCACCAGCCTTTGATTTAGCATATTCAGAGTTTAATAGTAGTAAGATTGTCTCAAAGAATGTTAAGAAAGGTTGAATAATCTTTTTTAAAGTAGG